TTGTCCTGAAGAAAGGTGTCTGCTAACTGAGAAAAGCTTGCCTCCTGCTTCTTTCGGAAGACAAGATTTTCTTCAGACGGGACCCACTCAAACTGTGTGTTACTGGTTTGTAAGACAGTGCACCCTGAACCGTAACAGTGTGGTGCGCAGAGACCTGCTCCGAGTAGTCTTGAGGGTGCAGGGTTAAAGCTGCGGTGTTGTGGTCCGTAGAGCTGCTCTTGCGTTCCGGGTGCTGTAAATACGGGCTGTTGGCCTGGCCTTGACGGAGCTGTTTGCTCCCCCTGCCCTGGGGGTAACCGTGTTTGTCCTCTTTGTGCGCGTCCATTTCTGAAAGGTGAAATGGAAGTGGTGGAGTTTATCAGATGGAAAGAGAAGAGCTGCCAGGCAGGTTTTATCACAGAAATCAAATATACTCATTTATTTCTCTGTGTGTATGTAACATTTGGTCATTTTTCATCCTCTGACCTTGGGTCCTTTACAGAAGAAACATTACACTAAAAATGGATGAAAGGAAAGTAAGGCTCAGAGGAGGAAAGTGCATTGTTTAGAGCCCCGAGCAGGTTGAAGCATGAGCTGCAAATGCGATTCTTACGTCCCGAAACTTGACCGCGTGCTACGCTCCATTGCATTGCAAGGTTGAAGTTTCTTGTAATGGCAAAATATGGTCTTGAAAAAACTGGCTGCAAAGACTTTATTTGTTTAAACAAAGGCTTTGTGATTCCAGAATTCTTTCCCTTTTCATATGCTATAAACCACCTCCTCCGCCTCCCCTCTGAAATATGGATTTTGGAGTAATCCATCAAGAAAAAGAGAGACAGAGTCTTGATCCCTTGACTTCAGTTGAGCTGTGCAATTTATATCTACTGAGCATCTGGCTGTAGGGAACCAAAAGCCCTTTTAATATTCTGCAGAGACTCTGCATATACAAATGAGTGTGGGCTGTCAGAGCTGAGAAATGGGGCAAAGATGCCAAGAGGTTTCTTTGCTGTTTTGCACAAAACTCTGACCTGTGGCCCCATGGTGAAAGTTGAAATTTGGCCTGGTCTTTTGGGGTGGGTTTTTTTTACTCCCCTCAGTACCACTGTGATAATTGTGATGAAATCATTAGAGCCCCATTGGTATAAAGCCATTATCGTGCCTTTCTTTTATTGAGTGAGGAGTTTGAAGACTTGTGGGGCTTTCAGCTTTGAGCAGCTGAATTGTACAACTATTTAATCACGAAATTATGCAAACGCTGCTTGAGCCCCGCAAAGCAGGAGCTCCAAGTTAGCAAGGCACCTGAAGTCAGTCACTCACCACTGTAAGTCGCGTGGCGTAGGAGCGTATCCGGAGCGGAAGCCCCAGGTTTAGAGCCCGGTGCCCGTTTGCAAAGCTGCAGTGCAGGAGGCGCTGGCTCAGCCTTCCGTTGGAGGTCGGTCAACTGCAGCAGCCGTTGGATCAGGGGTCAGGGGGTCACTGCTGGCACAGGGTATGTGACTTGTTATTTTCCAGCGTGTCGAGAGTGCCAGGTCTCTGATCCGTTAGACTTGTCTTGCCCTCCAGTTGCAGTGCTTTATCCACGCAGCCGGAGACGGGGCATGGGGGGGTGGGAAGGGAGAGGTGTGCTAGGACAGTAACAGCAAGACGTTATGGAGGCAGACTGGGTGTCACGCGATATGCTGGTACGGTCTCATGTTCATTATCTCAATTATTTATCCTCCCTGCTGGAACACTTCTAAAACAAATCCTACCATGTGTTTTGAGGTTGGGCTTCGTAGAGTGAAATCACAACTCCTTTCTGGAGTTTAGCTGGAAAAATACAAATCTGCCAACTAGGAATATGAGGGAAATAAACTGTGGTTATGTGTAGCAACAAGTGATGAATTTCTGCAGACATGGAAAGCGTCTGCTCTGGAGTTCCAGGTCAGAGAGTATGTGCATTTGCCTCAGTGTTATGTTCATTGCATGTGAAATAATGATGTGAGATTCTCAAGCTCATTTTCATAAAGCAGACTGCTTTCACCCTGATCAGAAAATTCAACTTCACAGTCCCAGGCCTTGGAACCACCAGCCATCAGGATTAGACACTAAATACTTCAATGCATAGTAGTCAGGGAAGAAGCTTATCAGCTTGATTTGTCGCCACCATTCTCAGGCTTTGTGCAAGGACAGGTAACGTCCCCAGACCTTGAAGCAGCCTGGTCCCCGGTGTGTTGTGAGCAAGCTTTGAACATCGTTTCTGCAACTGCGGTACTGAGCGTTCACTTCTGTGTTGGAAAGCGTCGTCCGTCTGTTGGTTAGCACAGCAAATGTTGGCAGGATGGCTTGCCTAAGTAAGAAGATCTTTTGCATTAGGACGTCCATTTTCTGGGTTAGTTAAATGTCTTTTGGGTCCAGGCTAAGTACCGCAGGAGGGATCTGGGTTCTAGGCATTTCATGAAGAAAAGGATCAGAGTTCAAATCCAACTTGATGTTAAGTAGTTGTCTTTCTGACCTGGGCTGTGTTTTCTGTATGTTTCAGCAGACATCACTGACATGAAGATGATTTTAGTACAAACCTCACCATACAGTGGCACTCCTGCTTCCTCCTCTCTTTCGTCATTTTATTCATTTAAATCTAACTTTTTGTGCTGCAAACATACCCAGAGGGCTCTCTGAGACACTCTTCAAGAGCAGAGAAGGCTGCTGCACTGGTGCTGTTTGTACGCTCTGTCTGGCAGAGATGATCAGAGTATCATCCCCACTGGGAGCTGGTTGATTCACCGCTGTGCAGAGGGGTAGTACAAGCCCTTTTTTATAAGCTGAGCTCTCCAAAGAAAGCTTAAATGATCAATCCATCTCAAATTATGCACAGAGATGGTTTTCAGACAGTTCAAGTCAGTCGCTCCAGACCTATGGGAGTTACTAATATGTGCAAGCCAGCAGAAGGGAGAATAGGATTCCATATTTTATTTGCTCTGTAAACATCTGGTACGCCTTTTGGCTCTGGGGAGCACTGGATTTATTCAGTCTTATCTTTCTGTGGGGATGAGCAAGATCAAAAGCATGAGGCTGGTTACATGCAGAACGTAATTCCCTGTTGTACACACCACGAGCAGATCGAGACCAAACACGTCTCACCCATTTCCTTCCCCATGGGACAATGCATTTATGGCGCTTGTGTATTCATGGGCCAACGCAAGCCAAAAAATATCGCCCAAGATTTATTTCAGAGAATAAAAATAAACAAATGGTGTTTTCTGTTAGGTAAAAGAAAATCCATGTCAGTATTGACCTGTGAGGGAATCCCTCAGCCTAAGTCTTCCTGAACCATCAGATGCTTCGTCTGCAAAATGCCACAAAATGCCAGGTATCGTGAGGTGGAAGCTCTGTGTCTGGCTCCTTCGGGAAGCTATGCAGCTCCTCATAGAGGGTCAATGAGAGACTTTCTTTGGAAGGTTTATGCAGCGGGTGATTGGTTGCCATTAGCACTCGAGCAATCTTCTTGGACTGTAAATCACTAACGTGGAACAGCCAAGCTTCCTGGCCCTCCGACCCACACGCTAAAATCTTTGTGTGGCTGAGAGCCATCAGTACATACCATGTGCTGGACATAAAACTGGAAAGTGTTCGTGGGTGAAGACTGGAGAGATTCCCTGGGGCTCCTTGTGCAAAAGGGGACAAAGCTTCTTAGGGGGGACAACTGAGTCCTAGGTGTTGGGGTGATGTTCAGTCAGGCCAAAACCCACGTTCACCTATTCCTCGCAGCAGGTAGGCACTGGGTTTGCTCAACATCCCCTGCACCAGAACAACCTCAGCCTGAGCTGCACCTGAATGGTCTGTTAAGGGGCTCAAGAATTTTACAGGTCAACCTCCCCAGCTCCATGGAAATACCAGGATTAAATGTTCTTCCATGGCCAGTCAATGAAAACTGGCTCTGGCCCTTAAGAGGCCCAGAAGCCCACACAGAGGTGTATTTCTCCTCTGTGGGACATGAGATGGCAGTGATTCACAACCTGATTATGGATGGTTTATTCTCGAAATACTTCATGCTGCAAGTAATTTTCCCTTTTTAAAAAGAACTGCTGCGCTTCAGAAGTTGTAATAGGTGAGTGATCCAGTCTGGAAAGCTTCTCTGAGAGCTGGAAGTGGGAAGTTCAACACTGCTGCAAAGCGCTGGGCAAGTGCCTTGTTGATTAAATCTCTTTTCAGGGCTTTATACTCCTTTACTCACTTTAAAATTGCTGAAACGAAAACAGAGGCAAAGCAGCAGGCCTTCTGTTTAGATAAGTGATGTCCTTTGTATCAAGCAGTCATTTTAAACTGCATTCAGAGCTCTTCACGTTAACATTTGTTCTTGCTAAGGCGTCCTGTCAAGACCCCTTTGGTGAATGCTGCCGATCTGCTGCTTCTGTGCAGCAAGGTCAGATGGAAACCACTTTGCTGCAGTCCAGTCTGCGTCAGCCCTGGGGTCTGTCTTGGATTTTCTTGCTGTCATTGAGACAGATGATTGTTGTGGGAGTGGTAACAGGCCTGGGAGCCCAGGGATGGAGCAGGACTTCTGAGGTGGGTGTTCTGGATGTTCATTGCTTTCCTCAGTATTTGACCAGGGCATGGTATAGGAGAGGGTACAGCACAGAGCTAAATGGAGCAGTGGTTTTGCAGCCTGATGGCCTGTGAGGTGGCAGCATGTGCCACACCAGCTTGCACCAGTGGCAGAACAAGTGACTCTGACAACACATTGTGCTGATCGGCAGAAAGTCTTAAAACTAATTTTTTCTTTATCTACCTTCTGCCTGTTGGGAGCTTGGTTTCACACTCTGCCCCACTAAACTCTGTCCCCAAACAAGGTTCATGTGAGGTGGCTGTGGCTGTTTACCTGTGCAATAGATTTGAATACTTATTTTCTCCCCATAACTGATCTTGAATCACTTCTCTGTGTGCCTTGGATCGAAGCGGGATCGGGGTCTGCAGACTGAAAGCTGTGGATTAAAATGCAAAGTACGTAGAAATTTTACATCCTTTTGTTTTTTTCTTTCTAGAATGCATGAACTGCACGAGACTAGCGGATATGACCGAGAGGCTAAACACGCTTGAGGCCAAGGTAAGGACCTGCCGTTATTCTTCTCTTTGGCAAAAATTTCCAGGAGTTGCCAGTGAAAAAGAAGTCAAGTTGGCAGGCCTGGAGAGATCAGGTGTCTGTCCTTCTGTCCACCGTGAGGAATGTGCTGTGGCAGTGGTTCTGCCCCAGGAGATGAGGGCAGCCCTACTGTGCCCACGGGCATCACTCACCTCTAGCCCAGCTCCTTCCACTTCCCATGCAGCTGCACCTCTGCCTCCCTTCTGCCCTCCGGCTGCCTAGCTCAGCTCCTCTTAAGTAACGCCCAGACCCGAGAAATAACGTGCCATGTGTGGCCATCACGCCGGTCGCTGTGTTTGCCTGTTACAAGCGTGTTGCCCTCACGCTGCATCCACCTTGTCCCCGGCTGGCTGGCCCTCGTGACGGTGCCCCGTGGTGGCACGTTCGAGCCGACGGTCACCTGTGCGTGGCTGCTAACGAAGAGCTCGTTGCTCACGGCTGGAATGTGTTGACTCAGGTTTTGCTTCAGAAGCAAAGGGCAGACGGAGCTGTATGAAAAATCTCTTGCCTTCAGCTGGCTGATAACCTGGGGATGTAAAGCAGTGAATCCCCTGGCTCAGGGGAGAAGCAGACTCTGATTCTGGTCTCCCTGGCTAAAAATGCCTTGTAGAAACCTTACCAATGTAGAGTTCAGAGCAGAGGAGTAACAGTAGTAGATTTTTCTAAGAACAGTTGTTCATTAGCCTGCTCTTCAAGTCCTGTCCAGTCCTGCTTTTTTATCCCTTTCCTGAAAGATAGAAGGCTTTCATGCGTAGTTTAGTGGAGATGAATGTTAAGGGGAGACCTTCATGTTGTGGTGGGTTTTTTTCTGCAAATTATTTTAATTTCTGCCTACTGGGATTCAGATGAATTGTTCCAGTCTAGCAACAAAGCAGCTGAGTCAGTCACTCCCCTTTGATCTGTGGTCCCTCCTGTGACAGCTCAACCCTGGCTGTTAGATATAGTGCTTTAGTCCCTTTAAGGCATGTGCTGCTGTTATTATTCATTAACTGATGATTATCAATGACATAAAAGAATTTGGGGAGAAACCTTTGTGGAGGGGGGTGGTGGATGTGTGGTGTTTTTTGGGCCAGTGCATGATATTATGGTAATTTGGGAATTGTCTGTGCTGAAATGGAGTGAGCAGTGTTGCCTGGAACTTCCTCAAAGGCCTTCTCAGTTGTATTGCATGGCAGGAAAATTAAGGGGTCGGGGGAACGAAATTCTGGGGAGCAGAATTGTTCAAGTGAAAACAACTGCTGTAGTGCAAAGGACAAAGATGAGCTGGATTGTTTTTCCGAGCAGTGGGACCTGGCAGGTGGGTGTTCTTTGGCAGCGAGGAGCTGGAGGCGTTTGGAGAGGAGAGAGGGGCTGGTGACTGACCTCTGCGTGTGCAGTCCCAAATCCAAGTAAGACATGGGACCAGCCTCAGAGAGACGTAAATCAGCCCTCTCCTGCTCAGCCTGTAGCCAGCTGTGCTTCCTTTCCAGGACTTTCTGTATTTGGCTCATTGTAAATGATACTCAAAGACTGTCCTGACATCAGAGCGCCCGTGCTCTGCTGGCTTGTGCTGCTCAGCACTTGTGTCGGGTAACAAAGCGTAAGAGGCTGGTGACAACCTCAGCCAGAGCTCTGGCAGGACTTCTTGGAGGGAGGGAGGAGGGAGGTCCTACCTTCCCAAATCCTTTGAGAAGTCTTAGCTCCAGAGTGAAGCTGCATGCAGGTCAGTAGGCTTGTCTTAGAGATATGAAGCTGGTTTAGATTGGGTGACAATCCCATCACCTGAAAGCAATCTGCTCTCTGGTGTGGGCGCCAGCTGCCCACGGTATTTGGGAAGTGCTGCCTGCTTGCCTTGCATGGGACCTCTAGTGAAGGCAGGAGCACGTTGTCTCCTGCTCTAATCTAGGAGACTTGTTGTGCAGTAACTGGCATTTCTCTCCTGGCTGGCAAGCCTGGCACGCTGGCCTTAGGAAATGCTTCCTCTGTTGGCAGCCATCTGGCCGCAGCCTGCTCTGCCTTCAGCAGGGAGCACTGAGTCATCGTCAACAAATGCAGTGTCGATGGCTGAAGACATCGTAGTCTTGCAGACCCCCTGACATGAGGACAGTGAGGTGGATGCCTGCAAAGTTCAGTGCTGAGATGTAGCCAGCCAGACCCTGGAGGTGGCACTTGAAGGATTTTGGTACTGCCTTGGTCCCACCCGTAGCCAAGACCACGCCACCTTCTCTCTGTCTTCTTGAGAAGTGGGGCTTTGGGTAACTTGATTCCTGTCGGCTCAATCCTGGGCATAGTGCATCGCGTCTCTGTTTTAGTGCTGCTGTGAGGTAGTTTGTGTTGTTGCTGATGTTTCATTCTGACTGTCCCGTGCTCCCGCAGACCCAAGTTGGGAGCAAAGCTTATCAAAGGGCTTACTTTCACGCAGGGAAATGAGTTATTTCTTGCTATTGTGAAGTACCAAAGACTGTGTCTCTGCCAGGATGCCTTCTGCAGCCCAGCCCAGCAGTGTCAGTATCAATCTTTTGGCTCCTACTGTGTTTGAAAAGCTGTGGGTGCTGTGCGAAAATTGACTGTAGCAATTAAATGGAGAGTGAAGCAATGTAACACGAATGCTGGTACTTCAGACAAGAGAAATGTGCTGATTCACCCTTTTTTCAAGGTTAATTTAAGTTCAGTTTGATCTGTGTAGCAATGTAATGACCTCAGTTGTTGTTATTCAATAATAGCCAGCACCATTAAAAAGGTGTTTGCATTTGTTCAGTGTTGTCTGAAAACTGCTCTGGATTTTGGAGAAACAACCCCATTTTGCTGGATCATCTGGATGTGAAGTTGTCTGTCGGGTCTCCAAACTGTCATCTTGTATTGTTTCATTTCACCACGACAGCCCAAAGCTGTTCAGAGGAAGACAGGAGTGATGGGATGGGCCAGTGTTGGAGATTGATCCCCCCCGGGTTTTTGCTGTCCTGTTCTGCAAAGGCAGATGTAGAAGTTCATCCTTCCTGTGAGCACAGATGGATTTTCCTGCCACAGTCCTGCTCCTTCTGGAGACAGCTGAAGTTGAGGAGCTTTGCTGGTTTTGCTCTTTGGAACTTCAGCCCAGCACAACCCTGGTGAGCTCAGGGAATGCCAATGGGTAGGATCAGCCATCTCAGCTTCACGCACGTCAGGCCGTTGGCACCTCCTGGGTAAGGGCTTTGAGGCATGTGGAGCGTGCATAGACTTGTTGTCAATACTGCAAGGCCCAAAAGGGTGAGAGCAAATGTGTGGAAAGCTACTTCTGAAGGCACTATGGACTGGGGCAGGTCAGTGCTGGGTGAGAAATTTTGCTTTATTAGGGTAGGTTAGGGACGAGTGAAAAACAGTATCTTTCTCACACCTCTGCAATGGGGACAAGGAGCCAAGAGCCTTTCTTGGTTATATGTGAGGACGTGTGAAATGCATGTTTGTCCCCCAGTGGCTGTGAAGGGCAAGTTAAAGAAACTTAAACTCAGTTGTGGAAGAAGAGGCTACAAGACTGTAGTTTCCTCTTTCCCCATTCCTCTTCTGCAGGCTTTTGTAGCTTTCCCCCTAAAAAATGAGGATATAACCAAAGTGGTCTCATCTTTCTTGTTAGAAGGATGAGTTGATTCATCCAACTTGTAAGACCAGAGTCCAAATGAGGCAATAAAAGTAACCCTCTGATTTTTGTAATACAAGAGTTGGATCAGAAAGCGAGAAGCAAGAACAAACACAGAGCAAACGGAATGAAAAATGACTCATTGGGGACCAGTGCTTATATAGCCCTTGGAGAGGAGAGGGGCTCTGAGACATGGCTGAACTGTGCAGCAGAACAAACTCTTTACGTGTCTTATGCTTTCCTTGACACTGCTCTAGGTTGTCCCTGTGGTGGTAGGAGATGTTTCTGCAGGAAAGGAGGTAAAGGGAGATGGAATCAGTTTCCACCCCTATCTCCCCTGTTTCGAGTTACCCTGTCGTCTCCCCAGGATGGAGTTGGCTTGATACCAGACCCATTTGGGTGCCAGAGGCTGGAAAGCTTGATTGATGGTGTTGAGCTTAAATCTACAGGCTATGGGAATCTGTGTTAGGGAAGATGGTGTGGTGACCCTGGGCTCAAGGACAAGAAAGTGTGCAGGCCGGATAGAAAACTGTCCCGAGCCCCAACATGCCAGACCTTACTTCTCTCCCATGACATCTTACTTGGCGTCACTGCAGCACCCCTGACCCTGCAGGGACCCTCATTGGTGGGAGGGCAGAATGAGACCCACTGTTATTTCATATGAAAGGTTTCTCCTTAGTGGATTCCTGTCTGAATTTCCTGAGTCTAATGCTGCCCTCCTGTGTCACAGGACTAAGCCCAGCCAGACTCCACTGAAGCTCAAGAGCTGCAGTGTCAGGAGAGAGCAGCAGCTGCCCACGGCAGGCAGTGCTAGCAGGAAAGCAGGCAGCTGCATAAAAATTTCTGCTCATTTTATTTGCCCAGTTTCTTTTAATAAACTCCACCACAGAGCTACAGGCAGTGTGATATTAATCCCAGCTTTTGGTTGCAGCTTAAGTGCAGCATTTGATCTGAGTTGATATAACCCAGTCTTATCTCCTGACACCGCTTTGGAGAAGTTCGTGGCATTTCACTCGCAGCTTTAATGCAGGGAGATAACGTTACATATCTGGTGTCTGATTGATTCATTGTGTGATTGATAAATGACATGCATATTTTTTGCATGGAAACAGTCCTTGTAATGTGATTCCCCATGCAGAAGAAAGGTTCTGAAGAAAATCTTTGTACTGGGCACAGAGTTCGATCAATACATTGTTATTTATATGAAATCACCCCGTTTATGTAGAAAGGATTACCCCACAGCACCTTCACTACCTTGTGTCTTTTGATTATGAAGCACCATTACTTGGAGTTTTAATGTAATCATTGTATGAAATGTTTCTGTATCTCCCCCTTCTTCGTTACTTGGAGTTTTAATGTAATCGTATGAAAT